GCCCCCACCCATGACCCCCTGGGTTTCCGATCACTGTCAGTGGCAGGGGGCTTCTTCCTGCTTTCCCTTTTGCCTCCCTGTATTGTGCCTACATATGCAAATTAACCGCCATCTTGTTGGCAGTTAACTGCCAATCTTAGTTGGCAGTTAATTTGCATATAGCCCTGATTAGCCAATGAAAAGGGTAGCTCGTACGCCAATTACCATTTTTCTCTTTTATTAGATAGGATAATAGCACAGAAAAATGGCTATGTCCTTCCAATGGCCTGTTGTTTCGCAGGCTTATGCCCTCCCTTCCTCTAGATAAAGAGAAAGAAAAAGCTCATTTATTTACTATATATGCACCTACATAATAATCAATTACTTAATGGATATTTTATGTGGAGTTTGTAGTAACACATCAAGTTAATTCCACAGCTTCCCACTGAGAGGTTATTTTTATTATACATGGTCCTGACCCCCCCCCCCACTCTGTCCCCCAACCAACTAGCACCACTACTTACCTTGCTTTCCAACTTTTCTTCACTGGCAGAAAAGGTGAAAGTCTGCATGACATTTGCTCCTGCTCTCAAGAATTCCATGTGAAGCTGACCAACTACCGAGTAGTTTTTTAAATTGAAATTAAGACATTAAAAATTACATAAGCTATAATTTTCAGCAGCAGCAGCTCACCCACTTCTCTTCCAATCATACACAATTTCAAATCTAGTACTTATAAAAAGAATTGCAGATTAAGGTCAGTAAAATTCAAGGACAGACATAGCAAAGACCATACCAAATCAGGGCTGTTTAAAGTAGCCTCATATTATCTTGCTGCTGGGCCTCACAGTTTGGTGAAGACACATGCAGAGATTAAAGCTTAGTTGGCCAATTGTTCTTGGTCTCTTGGTCTAGAGAGGGCTTATTCAGTTTCCAGTATCATGAAGAATCTAGCTGGCCTGCTTACAGTCCTCAAAGTAGAATGAGGAAAACTGTGTTTATTTCTTCACCCCCCCACCACCACCCCCCAACAGAACCTGGCTGTCTATTATCTATGCTCTGTTAAGCTGGTGGATACCATTAATCATCCTTACCAAACACACTGTTATAATATAATATGCAAATTAACTAGAAGGATGAATATGAAGCAATAACAGTTTTACTATATTAAGGAAACTCTTAAATATCCAAAAGTTATATATATATATTTTTGAGACACATAGTAGGATGTATATTTTAGTAGTCCCTATATGTAAAGATGCAAATGTGTGTGCATGGTGGTGGTGGGAGGAGAGGGAGAGAGAGAGAGAGAGAGAGAGAGAGAGAGAGAGAGAGAGAATGAATTTCCTTCTATTTGTTCAGACCATGTTCTGTCACTGTCTCCACATCTTGGCTACTTTGACAAGTGAAACAGTCCTTAGAAAATACGTGCTATTATTTTTTTATCTTCTCTCAGTCAGATGTACTCAAAATGTCACCCAGATAAGCACTCCCAGAGATGCTGGCACTGACCTGCGTCTGGATGTTCTACCACGACCTCTGGAGTCCAGAGCCCAGCCTTCACGTAGCCCCTCTTCTCCAGAGTTACGAGGAAACCGCCATCTCCAACCACAACCTCCCCACTCTCCAGACGTTCCAAAATACCCTGAAGGAGAAAAAGAAAAATCACCAAAGGCCCCTCTCTTCCCCAAAATAAGCATTCTGATTTTCAGAAAGATAGTATGTTGTTCTCACAGCTCCTCTTCTGTTACAGTCACCAATGTTTAATAATATTTCAGAAAGATTGGATACACTGTTGTTTCTTGGACAATCCAGGGACTTGTTTAGTGCCGAGTGCTGTTACTGTTGTTTCTCATAACATTTAATCTGAGTCAAAAGGTAGTGAAAAGGATGATTCCATAATAGTTCTTTTGGTTGTTGATATGTTTGTGGCAGACATTGCTGGTTGCTTAGCTAATTTGCATTTTCTCTCCTCTTCTTTGCTAATGTATTTTGTTTGGGGAGACAATGCTTCCAACTTTTTAAAACTTCCCAGGGATCCGTTGCTGCTGGGATGGCTATTTGACAAGTGCTGCCCAGGGAGACATGGGTGGAAGTCAGCTGAAGATTTCTGGAAAAGTATTGCTTTCCTGACACAGATGTCCACTCCCTTCTATCCTGACACTTTTTCCTTCCTGACTGGAATGTCATCATAAGCCTGGAAATACAGCAGTCATCTTGCCACCATGCCATTGAAATCCGCATGCTAACTCTCTATCTCTCTCCCTTTCTCTCTGTAAAAAATCAATAAAATATATTTAAAAAAAGAAAAAGAAAAAGAAATCCGCATGCTAACGCTGGTAGAGCAGAAGGGTAACAGCAGCCTGGTGTCTTAATGACATCTCGGAGTAGCTGAAGCAGCCATGGATTGCTAGTTCTCTTGTTAGGTGAGAAAAACTCGTTTTTTGTGTGTAAACCACTGAACATAATGCACTCAACATTTCATAAGTATGCCGTACGCTTCCCAGCATGTTTGTAGACATGCTCTCATTTGGTGCTCCCAACAGTTCTGTGAGTGAGGCGGGGCATTTTGCAAATGAGGAAACAGGTTCACAGAGGCTAAATGACTTGCCCAAGATCACAGAGCTAAGCAAATAACAAAGCCTAGTTCAGATCTTCTAAATTCCTAACCTATTCTTTTCCTATGTTACCACCTTTCTCAGCAGCCCACTCAGAAATTAAATAAAAGTCTGTATCCAGAGCAGTTATCTAAGGGTTATGGTTTCCAAGGTCTAAATTTTGCCTCCCTCAGATACTTGCATGGCTCACCCTCTCACCTCCTCAGGTCTTTGGTCAAGTGTCATCTTTTCAGAGAGGCCTTCCCTGAACACCTGTGACAGCTGCAAACACCCCATGGTGATCCCTATTCTTTGTGGATAGACTGCATTAATTGAAGATGTACCGTTTTAGTGAAAATGCAAGGCCAGTTCATGTCAGGCTTGCCTACAGCTGGACACAGAGCAATGCATAAATGGGGAGAAAAGCCTCCAGTTCCCCATCTAATCAGTCATATCTGCAGTCCAGAAAGGTACACCAGAGGCGACGTACCAGGCGACCATATCCACACCATCTCCGTTTTCCTATGGAGGGAAGCAGAGTGGAGCCCTGCTGTGTTAACCATAAGTGCTGCTTGTCAGAGGGAGAGTCCCTGATTCTGGTGAGCCTTCCATATTTCATATCTAAAGATGAATTTTAGTGGAATGTGGAAGACATGTTAACATTTACCAGGATTCTCACCTCTCTCTCTACTCCCTCCATAAAATACAGTTTGCTCTTTTCGTTTTGCACTTTGAAACATAAAAAAAGGACTGAAGCTTTCAACTTTCAGTGAGACCTTCCCACATGCCAGGTGCAGTGCTAGGCAAGCAGAATAAGCATTGGAATAACTCAAGGTCTGTGCCCTCAAGAAGCTCAAAGTCTGGCTTCCCTGGGGAAGGCCAGTGGTCAGCAAATCATCCCAAGACAATGTAATAGATAAAGGCCGCAGAGGGGTATAGAAGAGAGAATTGGAGGTATAAGTCACCTGTATAAAATCTCATCTTGAAAATCTAACATACTTCAATGAACTATGTTAAGAATCAAATTTAATAGTACACATCAAACACTTTCAGAAGGAAAAACATTGGTATACAATTTAGGTGTTATTTTTGTACATTTTGTATTTTTGTACCCCCCACTCTCTCCGTGCCTGGATTATTGACATGACCTCCAGTTCCCTCCAGCCCCCTGTTCTATGTCCCATTGCTGCCAGAGCAAAGCCTTGCCTGGCCCACTCTGATTTGCAGTAACCTC